CTACACAACTACCACGAACTCTAACATTCAGAGGATGTTTATTCCGAGTCTGAGTAATATTTCGTGATATTTGCCCCCTCTTGTCCGATTAGAGGTTAACAACACCTCTTCCTTACTTTTTTCGAATATTCAGTACAGTCCTTCTAATTACTTGTCCAGATTACCTTCACGGTTGGTTGTGTTGTGATTTTCGGATTATACTCTACTCGAAAACACACAAAAAATTATGTTTTCGGTCCATTTCATCCCAAAATTTTAATCTGATCATCACCGAAAATTGTAGGCGTTGTTCTTGACCATAACTGGAACTTCATGAAAAATTTCAAAGCCATCAGCGCGATATTTCTCCCTCTAATGTGGTAATGGGTTACTAAATAATAGACTACATCCTCCAGAAGTAAATATATATGCCAGGGTCCATTTGACCCGCTAAATATTGACCGATCTTTATCAAAACATGCATGCTTATTCTCTGGCCCGATCCCCTTCTCCATGCAAAAATTCATGGAGATCGGTATACTTAAAGGTGGGTCTAGGACCAATATTTCGCGGCGTTACAAACATTTGGGGCTGCACAAAGCTATAATACCCTGACAACATAGTTGTGTAGGGTATAAAAATATTGGTTGTATTTTATAACGTATTTCGGACCTAACAAATCAACTAAAGTTAAAGAATTTAACTCTTTAATTTCTAAGAAAAAAACTGAGAAAAGTAAATCAACTCCAATGTACTCACTTTTGAACAAATTTGCAGAATTCGAATATTTTTATTAATTATACCGTAGTTTTATATTTTTAATGTATCATTTATGAAATTTGGCATATTTTTAACCAATTCTAGTACAATTTTATTGGAATTATTCTTCCAATCACCTCAGATCCACTGCCAAAGTTCGTCTAAACTATTAGGGACTGATTGGTACTGTCTAACCTCTCTCTTTGCGATTGGCCCCAAATTAGCGTTCGGATTGATGTCGAAACTTTGTGCTGACCACTGTGTTAATTCAAAATTTTGTTCACGAAGATATTCTCTCACGAATTTTCTTCTACAGAATATGCGTTCTTAGCTACCTAAACTGACTGATATGACTCTACAATGATCTAAATGGACTTCTTTCATTATTATTTTGTCAATTTTTTAACATCGGTCCAGGACCCACAAGTTAATGCCTACGCATACCATGGCAATTCCTCAACCGTGCTTCACATTGGGCCGTCGGATTGAAAACGGTTGAATTTGGATTCGTCGGACCCGATCGCACGTTTCCAGTCGACCACAGTTCAACTTTTGGTCTAGTTGAAAAGTCTTTACCCTTATTTTGCAGTTTTTTCCTATAATACAGGTTTTTAGTCTTTTTTTAATGCTGGTATATCCAATGTCGGGAAGGGCTCTTCACGCCGTTCAATGACTAACAGGTTTGACGAGTACTTACGAAGCATATTATGGTGTTAAAACTTATCAAATTACATTTTCCTCATCATTATACGTGGGTCCACACAACTTATAAGCGGTGTACTACCTCTAATTTGAGGTTTGGGAACAACGGAACACCGTTTTTGTACCCATATGACCAATAATTGACAAAATTTAAGTCCCTTTGCAATTTCCAGGCTAGAACAGATTTTTCAGCTTTTTCCGAATGGCCTTTTCAGTGGTTATTATATATATTTCTTCTTGATTTATTATTATAAGTTATTTATTTGATTTTTGTTCAAAACTTTGTACAATTTTTTAGTAAACGGAATTAAAATGATGTAAAACTTATATATTTTCTTAAAAAAACGAATGAAACCCAAAAAGGGATTAAAAAAACGTGATTTTACATTCCTTTTCTGCACATTATTAAAAACAATGCAGACGTGCAAAAGTGAGTACATTGGGGTTGATTTCGTTTTCTTTATTTTTTCTTAGTTATTTTTAAAATTTTGATTTTTAAATTTAGGTTGTTTTATTAAGTACAAAATACCCAATAAAATGCAACCAACATTTTTGAATTGGCTTTTTTAGTTTTATTTTTATGACGCAAAAGGTGTCCAAAATGCAAACATGTACTCGTTTCTGCTCGCCACTGTATGTATGTCAAGCTAATAGTTTCCCTTTTTTGTGGTAGCTTCAAATGATTGGAGACCACAATGATGAGGAGAAATATTCATTCCTCCGGAAATGTACGAATAATGCTGAAATATTTGCAATTAATTAATGAGAAGAGAAGGTTACATATTTGTTGGAGGTCTTTTTCCCAACTGAACTTGGGTTTCCCTTAATCTTCTACCATTAGAGGAGTTCCATTAGAATTGGCTTCGTATCAGAATCATATCGATCAAGAATTCTTTTCATAGTTTGTTCCGAACTTCCTCGTAAACTTCAGTTTCATCTTGATCAGGAATAATTTCTTATCCTTGATTATGTTCATGCACTCTTTATCACCCTACCATACGTGTTCCTGTCCGATACTTTGTAGATTATGCAATTTTTCATAATGGGATCCTTTATACGTGGGATAATTAACTATATAAAAATAATTGCGGCCCTTCTCGAAAGCGCTGATTTGTCATCGCTCGGTCTTTCGCGTTGTCTACGGTAGTTTGAACTAGAAGAGTCTGGGGCTGAGATGATGGAGACCCCCAGTGATACATTAAGCCCAGTTGGAACGCTGTTTGCACCCTTATTGAAAGCCTTAGAAGTATTAAGCGTTGTTGTTGTTGTAGCAGTCCTATTGCTTTTACACATTGGGCTGAGTCGTTGTTTCGGATCGTAGACCCCTCTGTCGTGGTATTAAGGGTACCTTTTTTTGTTATTAGACTTTCTACTATCGGCAAGCTATGGATATCATTCTCCTACTATAGCTTCATCTGTAATTTCGTCCGATTTCATTTAGATACACCAAACATCTAAATCAACTGCCACTATATTCACATCATGAACACAGGAGGCCAAGTGGCAACTAAACATATCGATCAGAGGCCATTCCAATGGTCCAGAATCTTAAAATACTCGGCGTCACCTTTGATAGTCTTCTGACATTCTCCAGGCACGCCGCAGCGCTGAAGTCCAGAAGCAAACCCATCTCGAGTACCACATGAGGCAAGGACAAGGACTACTTACAAGGCTGTAAGTAGATCTGTCCTCAACTACTTCGTTCATCAGCGATTCGCAATGGAGAATACTTCAAACCACACAAAATAATGCCCTACGTACCGCAAACGGATGTGTAGAGATGGCGAGTTTGGATCATCTGCATCAGGAGGCAAGGATACTGTCAGTGCAGCAACATATTAAGACAAGATTTATATATAATAGCTTCCATGTATAATTTCGGTAGAGGCACATTTTTTAATATAGTTCCTAATAACAGTACCTTACAATTTTGACTCCAATTTAGTATTGGGCTAATACTGAAACTATTAGTCCAACATTTTGATATATTAGCTATATCAGGAGTCAATTCGTTCTTCATTATTTCGGAATTTTTAACCATACATTCCAACAGTGGGCCTAAAACTGTATCCCTACGTACACACCTAATTTAAAGCATTTTCACTTGTTTTTGTTTTATTGAAGGTTAGGAACGACCGAACGTAATGGCGTTTCTACTTGTTATGTACATTGATGTTTTCAGAAATTTTGTTATTTAATTCAATTTTAATTTACTCCAAATAAAATGTATAAATAATCACCTATCTCTTCTTATTTTTCCTTTCCAGTATTCCTCACTCTCACAAACTCCTCCTAAATCCCTGTCAAAATGTCTGAAGAAGAATCATTCGTTATCTTGGGATCATCACCAATGCCGTCATTGGAACATGATGGTGGTGATCGTAACGATTCTGGTGCTGATGTCTCCATACAATCGGATACACCTGGCAGTTGTTTCACATCGTTGAAAAGTAGTCAAATAAATGAGCTACAAAATGCAAGTCAAATATCCAATAAAACCCCAACACCATCTGCATCTACATCGATGATTGCAAAAGAAACTTCCGTAATTCCATCTGAAGTTTCACCACTTTTGACAACATCTAAGGCGAGTGCATCGAGTTCAATGCAACGTTCGGCTGAAAATATTCTTTGGTCACGACCACAAGTTGAAGTTAAAAATAGTGATTATTTGCCACTCAGCTTGGAAGATTGCGCCTTGCAATCACCATTGGAACGTAGTCCAAAAACATCATTAAATTCACGACCACCGCCATCACCACTTAATGTGTCCATGCAGTCGAATAATAAGGAAAATATAAAACCATCTACAGCAGCAAATGGCGTCGAGAAAAATTTAGTAACCTCACAAGTGATGACAAATCAACAAGCTTCGACATCTTCTAAAGGCGCCAGTTTGGCAAGCAGTTTTATATTGGGTGAAGTTAATGCAGATGCTTTGAAGGTATAATAAATTGTTTTAATTTTTAAAAATATATTTTTTATTATTGTTAATTTAATTGTTTTTTAAATATCATATTTTGTTCTTCGCTTTCAGTCAAGTGTTTATTCCCAATTCCCCAGTATTTCAATGCAGGCCAGTGCAGAGGATGTCATGAAATTGCAAACCATGTGTAATGAATATATGCAACTAAAATGTATGTGTACTTCCCCGAAATGTATAAACCAAATCATTGTATATCACATAATTTATTCTTTGTCTTCTTTCTTTTCTTCTTCTTCTTATTCTTCTTCTTCTTTTTATAGCAACACTCGAGAAAGTGAATAACACAATGTCGTTATTCTATAAGAACTCACTTGAATGGAAGGAAAAAATGAATAATATGGAAGATCATTATAAACAACAATTGAATGATTGTCAAAATCAAATTGAAGCTGTAAGTATTGATAAGTCAAAGGAGTACGGCAAAGTGTAGTTGTTACAAACTCCTCTTCATCATATCTTATTTGTATACCCTTTTGTAACATGCAAAAGGAAACGAGATAAAATCATGGTTCTTTTTGGGAATATATAGAATCACTTTCTGAGCGATTTATGCATATCCATCCGTCTGTCCACCTGTCCCCGTAAAATTTTAAACAAAGTACAAGCAGCACTTATGCTCCGAAAGAAATAAAATTTCGCACAGGCCACCTATTTGGCTCAAGGAATAACCTCATTGAAATTGGAGAAAATCACCTCGGATTTAGATATAGCTACCATATATATTTTCGTCCGATTTTTATACCATAGTGCAAATGTTTTTCCGATTGATACAAAAATTTGTACATCGTACCAAATTGAAGCTAGAATGACGTGTATAAACTTTAGTATAAATCGGTTCAGAGTTAGATATATCTCCCATGTATAATTTCGCCCAATTGATGAAAATGATACACCAAAACTCCTAACCTGCGTTGGGAGTTTTGGTGTATCATAGCGTATAATATTGAGTCTAGAATTGCATGTGCTAAGTTTCGTTGAAATCGGTTCAGATTTAGACATAGCTCCCATATATATTTCCATCGGATTTGTTACAAAATCCCCTATATTTCTTCCGATTTAAACGAAATTTGGCGTAGCGTACTGAATTGAGTCTAGAATAACGTGTGTTAAGTTTCGTGAAAATCGGTTCAGATTTAGATATAGCACCCATATATATTTTGTTCCGATTTTTTGTAAATGGTACACTAAAAACCTTGTTTTAGTTCGATATATAAGTTATTGTATATTGAGTTTAGAATGTTGTATGATAGTTTCGTTGAAATCAGTTCAGAATTAGATATAGCTCCCATATACATGTTCGTCCGATTTAATGTAAATGGTGTAAATCATTCGATTTACACGAAATTTTGCATGGGGTATTATATTGAGCTTAGAATGATGTCTGCTAAATTTCATTGAAATCGGTTCAGACTTAGATATATCTATCTCCCATATATATTTTCGCCCGATTTATTGTAAACTCCCCCGGGTTTTCCTATAGAGACAAAACTATGCACTGAGCTCGGAATTGACGTGCAGATTGATGTATGTGAAATTGTTATCGAAATCGGTTTAGATTTAGATATAGCTCCAATATTCATTTCCCCCGGGTTTTCCCGATTCCCCATAAATCATGCACCGATTGAGACAAAACTATGCCATGCGTATAGAATTAATATCGGATTGACATATAGGGAGTTTCGTTGATTTAGATATATTTTCGTCCGATTTGATGAATATGGAGCACTACAGACCCAAAGTTTATTTAATTTTTTGAAGTTTGTCTGTGAAGTTTAATAAAAATCGGTTCAGATTTTTATATAGATCCCATATATATTTTCGACGCGTTTTCATGTCTTGTCCTTCAAACATATTACGACTGTCACAATAAAAATCTTAGAGCATCCTAAAGTGATAAAGGGTATCATTTAGAGGGCCCCGTCCGACTTTTAAACTTTCCATAAATGTTATTTAATGTCCTATTCCTCTTCATTTCAGTTACGCGCGGAAAATCTTCAACTCAAAAAATCAATCGATGAACAAATTGAACAAACCAAGGCTGTGGATTTGGCCAGACAAAATGACCGTGAGGAGATGATTAAGACCATATCGGAAAAGAATTCTTTGGTGGAAAATATGAGAGCACAAATTGTTAAATTGGAAGAGCAAAATACGGTATGTAACTATACTCATCGAATAACCCTATACAACAATAAATAATATCTACCATCATTTTTATTAAAGACATTTGAATTTGTACCAAAGAAAACTGCGAGCAAAACCGATGGCAATTTCGATAATTTATATATAACACGAGCCGAACACGATAAAATAGTTAAGGATCTTAAACGACAGCTATCTGAATTATTGGCCCAAAATCTTGATAAACAAGATATGGTAACTTTTTCTTGGAATTTTTCTCTTTTATTTCTATTTTAATTTCAATTTCAAATTTCTTCTGTTAAATAGGAAAAAACCTACATTGATGAATTGAATTGCCTAAGAGTTAATTTTACTGCAGCCGAAGAATTAATTGCTAAAAGTCGTGCCGAATTGGCTGAACTTAAAGCAGCCGATATAACAAAACAGAATCGAATCGATGAACTTACAGCTGCCGATCTGACAAAACAGAAACAAATCGAAGAACTACAGAAAAACAATGAATTACTGTTACACGAAAATACCATACAAAATGAACGTATTGTGCTATTGGAACAACAAAATGAAGTACATCGTAAAGATTTCGAAATGGAACGTGAAAGTCGTCAAACAGCTGTGGGTGAAAAAGCACAAGTTTTACAAGATTTAAGAGCGCTGCAAAAACGTAATCAAGAATTGCTAGAGGAGAGACAAAAACTAATTGAAAATTATGAACGTAGAGTGTCGACAATGTCATCATCATCAATTGGTGGAGGATCAACATCATCTTTGGTGGCTGCTGCAGCAGCTGCCCAGGCGTATATTAACAATCCCCAAAGGCCGATTAGGGTGAGTAGAATAAATAAATTAAATTGAAATAAAAAACAACTTTTTAATTCTTGATTTCTTTTAGCAGGAATTAACACCTCCCTCACCAGCTGGCCAATCGGTGGCACCAGCCCTGCTCAGTTGCCCGATTTGTAATAAAACATTTAAATCATTATCGGTCTTACAGAGTCATGCTAATGATTGCATAGATAGGACTTAGTCATTTAATTTGTTTTTTTTTAGTCTTAGAGTGAAAATATATATTTCTATTATAAGTTGTAAGGGACACATTATCGTATGTCAGGGTTTATATATGTGAATTGAATATTCGAAATTTTAAATTAAATAATATTTAACAGAATATAAATGGAAATCTATACAAGTTTTGTTTATAATAAAAAGCTTTTTCTTTTTTTGTTTCTTCTTCTATTATCCGTATATATTTTAGTTTATAGTTGAAAATAAAAACATTATCAATAAAAAATAAATAATAATAAAAGTGTATGCAAAAAAATATGATCAGGATAAAGACATTGTTCCTATTACTTTTGAGACCTTAAAGGTCGGGATAAGTACTCTCCGTACGACTAAGATATGGATGCTTCACCAAGGTTTTGGTTAAGTGAAGATATTCTAAGGAAAAACAGCAAGTGACCTCAATAAGTGCTTAAGCAAGTATACGAAAAGATGCGGGAGACTACGGAAGGATTCTACGGCGAGGGACCTTAAACTAAACTCAAAACGGGATACAGAGGGACTATTCTGCAAGAAACCTTAATAAGTACTCAAGAAAGTATACGGAAGGAGACTACAGTAATATATAAAAGAGCTTAGTGATAAGTGAGTGACTGACAGATCATCGTCCAGAAACGAAACGGCTGAAGCGAGAAGCTTAAAATTTTGAGTGAGGCATGAGATAAGTCTGCGTTTTCTGGAAATTTGAACTAAAACTTACCCTCGTAGTTCGAATTTCGAAAGTAACAAAATTTACTAAATATGGTACCCATGGTATTAGGCAAACGGAAAGAGCAAGAATTCTGAAATTTGGAATGTGGGTCACTGATGGAAAGTTAGAAAGATGTACAAAACGGTTTTTTGAAATTCGACCTGTAAGGGTACGAAAAGTACTAAACTATACTAAAATTAGTTCTAATTTGTGTGTATTGAACATATATAGCAAGAATTTCGAAATTTTGGAAAGTGGTGTTGACGTATGGAAACGGTTTTAGAAATTGATATGTATGTCTATGAAAAGTACTAACTGGTACTAAATATGGCACCATTTGCATTTACTTGAGCGTGAGTCCTGAAAATAAGAATTAGGATTACTATTGGAGTAAAGAATTGATGTAGCTTTAAAAAATCCTACTTATGTATACGAAATGGTACTAAATTTGGTACAGGTTGAATTTAGATGAACAGATAGAGAGGGAGCCTCGAAACTGGGAATTAAAATTACTGTTGGAGTGTAGGATTGCGAAAGTTTAGGAAATTCGTACTTAAATAGTACAAAATTTAGTACAATTGGGATTTTTGGAGAACAGAGCTGAAAACGTGAAATTTGGAATTAAGATTACTGTTGAAGGTTGGGAAATGGTGTTGATGTATGGAAATGGATTTTGGTACTAAATTTGGTACTATTTGTATTTAGTTGAGCGTGAATCCTGAAAATAGGAATTAGGATTACCATTGGAGTACAGAATTGAGGTAGCTTAAAAAATCGTACTTATGTGTACGAAAAGTACCAAAATGGTGCTGTATTTGGTACAAGTTGGATTTAGATGAACAGGTAGAGCAGGAGTCTTGAAATTGAGAATTAAAATGACTGTTGAAGTGTAGGGTTAAGAATGTTTAGAAAATGCGTACTTATGTGTGCGAAATGGTACTAAATTTAGTACAATTTGGATTTTGAGTGGACAGATAGAGCTAAAAACCTGAAATTTATAATTAGATTACTGTTGAGATTTGAGCTAAGAGGCAGTTTTGGAAATTCGTACTTATGGGTAAGAATAGTACTAAACAGCACTATATTTGGTACAATTTGGATTTGGGTGAACGGAGAAAGCTGGAAACCTAAAATTTCGAATAATAGTTGATTGGGAATAAAAATGACTGTTGAAGTGTAGGGTTGAGAATGTTCAGAAAATTCGTACTTATAGGTGCGAAAGTACTAAATTTAGTACATTTTGGAATTTGGTGTGAACAGATACAGCTGAAAACCTGAAATATATGATTAAGATTACTGTTGAGGATTGAGCTATAGAGACAGCTTTGGAAATTCATATTTAAGTATAGGAATAGTACTAAACCGCACTAAATTCGGTACAATTTGGATTTGGGTGAACGGAGAGAGCTGGGAACCTACAATTTCGAATAATGGTTGTGGCGAGAGTGTAGAATTGAGTACTAACGTGTTCTAAATGGTACTAAATTTGTTACAATTTGATTTTGTGTGAACGGAATGAGCTGGACTCCAGAATTTTGGATAGAAAATTACTGTTGGTGTAAATGGTTTAGGAAATTCTTAATTATGGAAACAAAAAGTACTAAATGGTACCAAATATTTTCCTTTTTCTTGTGTAAACGGGTTGGGAGGGCTGAAATTAGGAATTAAAACTAATATTGAGATTGATTAGGAAACTCGTACTTATGGGTACGAAAAGTACTAAATATGGTACAATTTCAATTTGTGTGCATGGATAGAGCTGAGATCCTGAAATATGGAATTAAAATTACTTTTGGAGTGTGAGATTGAGGTAGTTTCGCAAATTCGTACTTATGGTTATGAAAGGTACTAAATATGGTACTAGTTAAATTTCTGTGAAGGACAGAACACGGGCACGTAATGGGCTAAATTGTACTAAATTTGGTACAATATGAAGGATTTTTCTGCCAGATATTATAGGATTATACCTCGAGGCACCTTAATAAGTAAGATTCTATTAAGGAAATGGAATATTTGGGGTATATAGAAATTTAAATTGGGAACTTACCTGATGCTGATGTGTCCCGTCCTGACGGTGATTTAAAATTTAAAGTTTTCTGGTATCTCCCCCACAACATTTTTAATATTTTTAAATCGAATATCATGTGAATGGAATGTTTGATTAGATTTAAACTTTGCACAACCTATTATATTTACCTAGTCTACATCAAGTCCATTATGGGACCCATTGGTCCACTCCTTCTGGTACCTCCTCCACCAAGGGTCAAAACTTTTAATATTAGACGAATGGAATGTCCGATTTGAACCAAACTTTGCACAACCTATTATCTTTATAAAGTCTAGAGCAAGTCCGCAGATGATATCCATAGGTCCACTTCTTCTGGTATCTCCCCCAGAAGAACATCAAACACCCGCTGGTGTTTAATGTTCTGGGAAATTCGATCATTTTCTTTGAGACTTTAAATAGAAAATTTGACATCAATGAATTTTTTAACATTTATTTAGTTACATATGTATATATTTTTTAGTTTTGTGGTGTAAAAATATGTATAAAATGTATGTAAAAATATAATATGTTTTATAATAACAAGCTTTATATTTTATAAAAGCAAATAGGCGAACGGCAATCGCTAATTATATAAAAAAATCACACGCCAATTACAGTTTACTTATAATAGGTGGTGGCTTCAAAGCCCACACTCTTTGTATATCAGGATTTGCAACCAGATTATTTAAAATGTGGATATCTAAAAAAAGACAAATAAAAATCAAAATATTTCATTACAATTCCAAATATAACAACCACACTCCTACCATTTGTTTTCGCATAATCCTCCAATATGGAACGTATTGTCACAATCGGTATTGCATTATTGATATTCGGATAGACGACATTATCCATTTTAATATTCGACACGCACACACCCATAATATTACCGTGTTCATCGAACATAGGACCTCCACTTTGTCCAGCTTGAACACAACCATCGGACATAATAGCCGCTGGTGTATATTTGATAATACGTCCTTGAAATATTGACGGATTGAAATCATATTTTAAATTGAAATTAACAAAGTAGGGAAATCCGGCATTGTAAACAGTTTGTCCCAAACAGGGTTTTGTTTGCGCCAAACGTACACAATAGCGCGAGGGAATGTGTGAGGGTGTCGACAAGAGGGCCACATCAAAGGCGGTATCATAATTGGGATTACGCCACAGCACATCGGATTCAAATTCACCATCAACACCACGACAATATACGGTGGAATTGACCTGAAAACATGATAAGGGATTAAATTTTATTAGTATTTATTTGAGTTTTGATGTCTAAACAAACACATACATTCATAGCTTAGTTTATTACCTGAAAAACAACATGCGAACAAGTAATTATGAATTTTTTATTTTGCACTTTAACAAACGTTCCAGTGCCCTGATTGCCATTAGCTTCGATTACCACCAAGCTACGTTCCCCTGCAATAAGATAAAAAACAAAACAAATATTAATAATACAACTAGATTGCAGCCACTATGATAAGATAAAATATGATATGGACTTACAGGCAAAATTAGATGGTTCTCGGGGTATGGTAATTGTGGTAATTTTTATACCCAATTGATTCATAAAATCACGCAATAAAAATGCAAAATTTGCAGCGATTGTCATTTGTAGATTTTCATTGTTGCGCTGGAATGCCGTACTGATGATGAGACCAATTAAACGTCTGCAAATAAAAGTCACATAAAAAGAGAATTTGGATTAATGATTTCTTTGAGGTCAAATCAAAGCCAAGACTTTTTATTCTGAAGACCTCATTATTTTTTGGAGGGATGGGGAAAATGTCTACTTCCGAAAACATTGTGTTCCAAAATGATGAATAGAATATAAATCAATTTACTGCTCATGAACAAAATTTGAATTTTTCTGTAGAGACAAAGTCAAGTTTAATTTACAAACTTATAAAATTTGTGATATAGGTACCAGATATGCGGGATCGATGGGTCTAACCTTCACTTCTATACTTACAATTTATTATTAAAAACAGCCGAACCTTCACATCCTAGCGGCAAATTATTGGAGAGAACAAACAAGGAACCGTTCTTTCCAATAACATTCGACACTTTTCCAATACTTATGGTTTTATAGAAATTTTCCAAACCAAATGGCGTACACATTGTTAGGACATCATCCAATGGTCGTATCGGATGTATATATCTTAAATAATGGGCGATGTGTTCGAGAAATCTTTCAAATTTTTCCGGTGCTGTGGTCGTAACACTCGTTGGACGCATTGTTAAAACAAGGAAACTTGTTAGCAGCACTTCATTGTGATCTTTTGTTTGCGAATCCTGGAAACTCATAGAACTTAACATTTTATGTAGATTTCGGGATATCTCTTTCGAGCTAAATATATATAAAAGCTTTGCTCGATATCGGGTGAGAATGTGTGGAACATTGGAATTGTGTTTGGAATCTGTTACAGCCGCTGGTAGTTTACGACGATCAAAGGTTACCTGGTAGTTGAGGGCATTCAAATGTTGTGCCTCATCTGTGTCCACGTCTTGGGCATTAACCAAACGGCATTGCTGTAATTTGTGTATGATTTTTGTGCTGGCACAAACATTTTCGTTGCTGTGATCCGCGACAAATGGTAATATGGGACGCACATAGGGCTGTAGTATGCATCCCGAGGTTATTATAAGTTCATTATTTATGATCACGGCAGATTGTTTGGCATTCGGATGATTAGCCACTTCCAGCAGGGCATGTCGTATTTTTAAAAGCATTTTGTTATCCTTAATGGTATCTGAAAATTTATGAAAAACCTAAAAACTATCGGTTTATCCATTTTATCTATATCTACTTACCAATTATTTACAGTTGACCAAATCTCTCTCAATTTGGCAGGTCCATAGTCTAAAAATTATTTCTTCACTTCGTCTGCTAGGGGTATATCGAACTTCTGCATACTTGTCACGCAAGTCTGATAAGAATTTGTCGCTTAATTTTCTGTTGGCTTATCTGCAGAATTGATTTTGCATTAATCAAGAACCGTTTTGCTTGTTTCCGTTGGTAAATTATTGTTTAATTTATCACTTCGTCCACCAATAGGTTTTTCTATTGTTTATTTTCTTTTTTGTTTTTGTTCTGTGTTGTAAAAAATAGTAGCATAACAAAGAAGTAAACAGTAGGGACTAAAATTAGGTTGGCAACTCTAATTAAATCAGCTGTTGAACAGAGATTACCATTGTTGTACTTTCTTCTATGCCTTATTTCTAAACATTACGAGCGCCCTCCATTTTTGTTTGGAGCTGGTATTTTTCAATCATTCTCTCCTGTCTACTCTATTCGTAGCGTTCCAAACGTTTTTAGATTAGGTCGGTCATTCACTCACCCAAGTTCCAGAACGTCAGAAACATTTTATAAACAAAAAAATGTTAAAATTATTATTCTTGGTGTTTTTATTAATAACATTGGTCCAAGGAGTGGCCTATGACTGTACCACCCTGCTTATGGGTCAATATTTATGTCCGGAACCCGGTAGAAATCAAATTGATCCGAAGACTCAGCAGTACTATGGATGTGAACGAAATGGTTTGGCCAAAGGTATGGATGTGATATCTAATAAAGGGGTTTTCATTGTTGTTAATTAATGATCTATAATATTTTCAGTTTGGTGTATAGCAGCCGATGGCATAGAATGTATTGGAACAAATAATAATACATTTACTAAGGAGATGCCCTGTAAATGGACGTAAGTAGCTCCAAGTGCTGGGAACACCTAAAATGGGTGTTGGAAATAAGAGGTTCTTCTTTTTATACCTTGCACCACAAGGTGGACGGTATTGAATGTATCATTCCGTTTGTAACACCTTTCTCTTAATCAGAATAAAATTCTATGTCGATTTAGGCATGTCTGTCTGTTGAAATCACGATTGAGATGAAAATCTGTAAGATAGAGCTCTGAAATTTTGCACAGATGTTGCTAGTACTCGTACGATGTTTGGTACTGCAAATCGGTGCAAGTTTTGGTGTAGTTCCCATATAACCGTACCTCCAATATTTGGTATTTTGGGGACTTTGAACACGTTTTCCAACCTATTTGGCTGTATTTTTTTCATTTTGGGTTCTAATGGTATAGCATATCTCCGTACCAAAAATTATAAATATTTTTCAGGGTAGCCCAATATAACAGTATCCCTCAATATTCGGTATTTTTATACCCTTCACCACACTGTGGTACAGGGTATTATGTCTTTGTGCATATGTTTGTAACAGGCAAAAGGAAACGAGATAGTCACATGGTTCCTTTTGAGAATATGCATAGAATCAGTTTCTAAGTCGATTTATGCATGTCCGTCCGTCCGTCCGTCTGTCTGTCCATGTTAAATTGTAAACAAAGTACAGGTCGCATTTATGATCCGAATTGGATGAAATTTGGCATAGGTCACTTATTAGGCCCAAGGACGAATCCTATTGAAATTGGGAAAAATCGGTTCAGATTTAGATATAGCTCCCATATATATATATATATATATATATATATATATTTAACCGATTTAATGTAAACGGTCCCTATATATCTTTCGATTTGCAAGAAATTTGGTATAGCCTAATCATTTAGGTCTAGAATGATGTCTGCCAAGTTTCAAGAAAATCGGTCCAGATTTAGATATAGCTCCCATATATAGTTTCGTCCGATTTCATGTAAATGGTGCCCCAAAGTCCCTATATATCTTTCGATTTGCAAGAAATTTGACATAACGTATTGAATTGAGCCTAAAGTGATGTCTGTCAAGTTTCGAGAAAATCGGTCCAGATTTAGATATAGTTCCCATGTATAGTTTCGTTCGATTTAATGTAAATGGTGCACCAAAGTCCCTATATATCTTTCGATTTGTACGAAATTTGACATAACGTACTAAATCGAGCCTTGAGTGATGTCTGCCAAGTTTCGTGAAAATCTGTCCAGATTTAGATATAGCTCTCATATATGTAGTTTCGTCCGATTTCATGTAAATGAAATCGGACAAAGTTCCTATATATCTTTCGATTTGCACGAAATTTGAATAACGTACTAGATCGAGCCTAGACTGATGTCTGCCAAGTTTCGTGAAAATCGGTCCAGATTTTGATATAGCTCCCATATATAGTTTCGTCCGATTTCATGTAAATGGTGCATCTAAGTCCCTATATATCTTTCGATTTGCACGAAATTTGGCACAACGTACTGAATTGAGCCTAGAGTGATCTCTGCCAAGTTTCGTGGAAATCGGTCAAGATTTAGATAAAGCTCCCACATATATATTTTCGTCCGATGTTTATGGATAGATCTAGCTAGATTCACATTTAGATAAATATCAAATATTTTATTTCATCCAATTTCTTGTTAATAGTCCTGTTTAATATACCCATAGTGGTGAATGGTATCATATAGTCGGCCCCGTCCGACTTTACAACTTTCCTTACTGGTTTGATTATGATTTTGGACACGTTTTCCAACTGCATTGATGTAATTTGGTATGTTTGGTTCTTATTGAATAAGGTTTAAGGTTTAATTTATTGACCATTTTTTATAAACGTTGTAATTCAGAAGAGTGTTTATAAAAGGAAGTCAGGAATTATTAATAGGGACCCCAGTTTCAGGCTAGCCTATCAAATATGTTGCAATTTTGTACTTTGCGTTCTCATAACGGCATTGTGGTGATGCAGCACTAAAAATTTTTATTATTCACCCAAGTCGGTATTTTGAGAATTTTGGACAAGTTTTTCAACCGAATTTGTTGTCATTTTTTTGTATTTGCATTGTCTGCCAAATCTCACTATTACACATATTTTTCTCACGTATTTTTCTGCATGATCAAGGTCCTAACCTACTACCACATAGCTACAAGAAAGTACAGAAAATCAGCAATAAAAATATAGGTAGTTGAAGGCCTGGAATACCAGGACAAGAAGTCAACATTTCTTAAAGTAAAAAAGAGGGTACAACAGGAGGAGTGTACTCACAATTCCTTTTTTAACCCCTACCTTCAGAAACATTCTTCAGCACCACAATGCATTAATATTGTATCAAATGCAGACGATGGTACAATTATGTCCTCGGGACTAGACATCGATGATATCAGTTCCAGATAAAACATCTACTTAACTCCCATCTCAACCTTTATGCAGGAAAGAAAATTAATTATATCGACGTCGAAATCAACTACTACCATTTCGATCTCTTGCACCCTTGAGTAGAGAATAAAATTAGATTTTAAAGTCTACGGCCGAAGTATTCCGACTTCCAACACCCCAAGATTCTGTGTGTTGGGTTTGGTTACTGAATTTCACCAAACATGAAGCGTACATTAAAGGCAAAATTCAAACCAAAGACAAAGTTCTGAAAGCCCTGACAAGAACCTCCGAATGAAAAGACAAAGAAACCGTAATAGCGACATACAAGGCCATCAGCCACTCAGTCTGTTCCAGTTTTGACTTCCTTTTTCGGGAAAATATTGCTACTAGTTGCGAAAAGTAGTCCCTTAAGGATTGCTAGTGGATGTGTTTTGATGTCGAGTGTGAATCACCTACATGAGAAGATAGGGCCACGGTTATGGAACTATCAGCGCCAAATTTTAAGTTTAGTACGGCTTCTGGCCAAAGAAGACCACTATTGTTTTTGAACGATAAAATCTAGACGATGAAATTGACCAACAACTTGTCTGTGTCTCTGGTCGCTCTAGAGACCATAATTATGCCACGAACATAACGATATTTTAGACTTAGAAAGGGGTCTGACCATAGAATAATTATGACTGTTTTGATGAATATATTTAGCGGGTCAAATTGACGCAGACTTTTTAATAAACGCTATATTCTGAAGGAATTGAGATAGGGTACTTAAAGTTTACATAGGGTTGTCTTTTGTCTGAAGGCGGGTCAAGTTCGGAGATGGGATATATCAGTCCACGTATAGGCATAGCCCCCATATAAGTGTACCCCCAATTATCAGTATTTGGAACATTCGGCTCTTATTATGTAGTAAATCTCTCCACTGAAAATAATGAATATAGGTCCACTTTTTGCGGTAGGCCCCATATAACGGTACCGATTTCGCTGTAATTTGATATTTTGTATTAGTATTTGATAACAAATCTCCCTCTGTATGACCACCTTTTATACCCTCCACCATAGTATGGAGCGTATATTAATTTTGTTTTTCCGTTTGTAACTATCCAAAATCGGCCCGGCCGAACTTAACGAAAAAGCGTGGTTTATATTAAAAGCGTGGTTTATATCATATAGCCGTATTCCACCATAGTATGGGGGAATATTCTGTACTGGCTAGTTTATGATCTACAGGTATGGAAATCTAAAACGATTTCTCCATTTTAGACATCTGTTGTAATCATTCTACCTTCGGATGATATTGAGAAAAAAACTAGAACGTCAGGTTGGAGAATGAAATATATAGACCAGCATTTGGGTCTAGTCCCCATATAATGACACCTACCAATTTTCGGTATTTTTAATACCTTTGGAGGATATTCTTTGGAGATATTGAGAAAAAAACTAGAACCTCAGGTTCGAGAATGAAATATATAGACCAGCATTTGGGCCCAGTCCCCATATAATGACACCTACCGATTTTCGGTATTTTTAATACTTAGCGTGAAGGAAGGTATTGTAAATCAAAAATGTTAAGTTCGAAATTGAGCTATGTCGGTCCTCAATTAGGCATAGCACCTCTATAATGATAACTCCATGTGTTCAGTAATTCCACACAATGTAATCAATATTGGT